TTCTTTTAGATCAAAAATTTGTTTATGCCTGTGTATGTACAGTATGCATGTGTGTGTGACCTGCCATGGTTCCAGCTCATTTTCCAGCACAACTGGACTGTAATGAGCTCTGCATTACACTAGCCTACATGAAACCTGTTAGGTCATGACCTACACACACACACACACACACACAAAAGCACAATCACCCAAAAAATGTGTTTTCTGCTGTTGTTTTAAACCTTACAGGTTATTTCAGTCTGGTCTCAGGTTTGCACATTAGTGTACACAGACACACAGTAGCAGCAGTAACCTTAATTCATCGAACAGACTTCAAAGGACCATCTGCAACCTGCAAAAATCCACACTCCAGCTTACACCCCTGCGTACCATCCCTCCTGCCCTTTCCTGGAGCTGTGGCAAGGCGGGGGCAGGCAGGGTGGAACAGTACACTAGGGAGAGGCAAACAGTCGGGATGCCTGCAACATTTCTCCAGCTCCATTGTCACATTGCTTCACTCCTCACACATCATTATCCCAGCAGCTGTTACTTTATAGCACAGACACACTAACTCCCCAGAAAATAAACACACATCAATACACATTAGCTATGCTCACTGACAGAAAAATACTACTGTTCAGTTTAGTTTTAACACTTGGGTTGCAGTTGCTTCTTACAAGCTATGAAAAATTTCACACAAACCTCTGCAGATACTGTGCAGTTGCAGCTGGAGCATGATCCCAGCACCCCCAACGGTGTGCACCTCGTTGATGACCACAGATGTTGAGCAGCTGAAGTCTTGTAGTCAGCAAGAATGGGACAATATTCCACTTGTAAAATTGTAACATTAGTATCCTCAGTTCCCATATGATTAAAATATGTAATTAAAAGCAAAGTATTTATAAAATGCAAAATAACAAATCATAGATTTTAGTTTTTTTGCAGTTTGGAAAATGTGCCAAGTTTTCAGGAAATGGGGTTTGTAATAATTTTTATTATAATGTAGGTTAGCTCGAGGAAGGAGCTGGAGACAAAAGCAGCCTTTTTCTCTTTTTATTTCTCCCTTCAGGCAACCACACAGCAACGACAGAACACAGCAAAACCCTGCTAGCACCAAATTAAAAACATCCCAACCAGAGGGGCATTATGGGGGATCCCACCAGGTGCTACATCCCTGAGGCATTCTGGGGGACCCTGCCAAGTGTCTCTCCGCCCCCAATGCTACAATATATTAACATAAATAAAAACTTCTAATTTAATTGCTATTGTTTACAAACCTAACACAGTCAACATACATGTACATAACTCATGGTTCCTATTGTAGGAGCTAAAAAAGTCTCTCAAAATAGTGTTCTAAGAACTATCATAATTCTCAGTTCCTGTGGTGTGAACACACAAAGCAGGGAGAGTTTTGTCCAACAGTTCTAAGAACTATGAAAAAGTTCCTCCGGTCCGAAAGCACCTAATGTTTAGCAGGTTCCATGTAATGTTCGCCATCATAGTTTCAGGTCCAAACACACAGTACAGCTGACCCTGATGGAAATGTCATGAGTATTTAGTCATAAATTGCAGTACTGCAGAAACTCAAATGCTGACCTGACAATGTGACAGAAAAAGAAAGACTGCTATAGCATCCTAATCACCCTGAGGGAACATGAATGAGTTAACCAAATTCCATGATATCCCAGTCAGTAGCTTTAGAAACATTTTACTGAAAACCACAAATGTCAGCCTCATCACTAGGATACATTATCTGGGAACCACTTATGTTTCTTGGGAGTCCATCTTTTAGCTGCTGAGTAATAGCCAAAGTGTTGGACCAACCGACAGACAATGCTGCCATACTTAAAGCCAAGTCACTTTACAACTGTACAACCTACTGACTATATAAGCGGAACAAACCTCAGGCCTCGCTACTGTTGCGAAGGTCATGTAGCATGTAGTCAGTGTTTGGAACAGGTTTTCTCTCGGTAAAGTCCTAAACCAACCTTCCATGGAGCTATGTCACAGCAGACATTTTGTGCATGAATGAACCACAGATAAAGTTTCAGGCTGCTGGTTAGCTATGGTCACTGGCAGCATATGGGAGTGCTTCAGTGTTTGAGTGCAAACACAAGCAGCCATTTGGCATGTTCATTCCAACTGTGGACACATTCACTCTCTCATGGGGCTCTGAAAGATTTGGGCTGTGAGCAATGTTCATCGGCTGTTACATTCATCGCTATAATTAGGGGTTTATCATTAGAAAGTTTCAAGGCTAAAGTAATTTTGTGTGTGATGACAAAGTGTGTTTTTTGCCAGTTGCCGTGAGGTTAGAAGAAAAGCATGATGGCGTATTCCTGCTACTGTACATCTTTACAACTATAAAGTACTTAACATGTTTAACATGGGATTATATACATCAGAGATGCTCACACCTGAATAATGTCAATTTGGAATACTTCATTAAAATTCCTTCTGGTAATTATCAACAAGATTAGGTCAGTGGTGTCTAATCAAATATCTGTCATATGTAACAGTGTAACATAACAGAGGTGTCGTAAGAGCAATTATTTGTTGGAAATAGAAGACCCCAAACTTTATTGCTAAAACATACAAATGAATTCATTTTGTCCTGAGCTGTCAAATGACCACAGCTTAAATGGGGTTTTGGTTAAAATGTCCTAAACAGTGCCAATGGTCAATCCCCAAAGGTACGGTGTTGTCTGTAAATAATCACACACATTTTCAACATTTTAAAGCCTACTTTCTTTAGATTCATGTTTGCTGACTTTCAGTCTTCTTCCCCACCTCTGTTAGTACCTTGTTGCATTTCTTAGGTTACCATTACAAATGCTTAATTAGGCTCTTGGATTAAAGTGAAACAGTGACATGTGTAGAATTACTTATATGTATATGTATATACATGTCCGTCCTCTTGTATGTGTACAAGATGTTTCAAGAAGAATCTGCTCCCTTACTTTTGCACACACATTAATGCAAACCAGAAAATTCCTGTAATTGGAAGAAAGAGTACTTCCAAATGTCTAAAACACAGCTGAATGATTAGCAAAATGGTTAGTTGTGATGTAAAATATAAGCAATGGTATCTGCGTTAGCAAGCAAACAAACTAAAACAAATAAAACCTCTAATGCTAATTACATTCTATCTTAAATATTTTATACTTACAATAGGCTACTAGTTTATTAAATCTAATAGTGCAACTACATTTTTAAGTTTTGATGCTTCAATTATGCCATCATTCCACTGCCACCAGGAACCTTACAGTAGTCAGGCCAGCTGGCCAGCTATTGGCCCCAATACACATTTATATCCATTGCACAGCGTGAGCATTGTTCCCAAAGAGTCTGTCATGGCAGTGGAATGATGGCATTAGTCACCACAGTGTAAAAGGTACAGTAATGTTAGTAAGAAACGTCTGGTCCACTCTAGGGTTTGTTTATATAAGATTAAGTATTTGTAGGAGTAATGTGATTATAGTCCACACAGCTCTGCTACACAAACAATACAAAATCAACCCCCACACACTGCTTACGTTGGCCTCAATTAGTTGTGTCCGTAATATGAAACATGGGCTC